TGTAAGTTGGAAAAGTAAAAAGCAATCTACAATCACTGATTCTTCTACTAGAGCTGAGTGTGTTTCAGCAAAAGCAGCATGTGATGAAATCAAATGGCTACACAACTTGCCCATGGACTTTGGGATAACAGTACTCAAACCAACCATTCTGATACAAGATAATCAGAGCTGCATCAGGATTTTTGAAAGTGAAGAGTCACTTAAGAAGAACATCGACATTGCATTTTACAAAGTGTAGTAGATGTACAAGAATGGACTTGTCTAACTGGAATACTGAAACACAGAAGTTATGATTGCAGATATCCTCACTAAACTTCTGCCAAAAGATCAATTCCAGAGGCTACATGAAGGAGTGAAGATTCTCAATGTCGGTCCAGGAGAATGAGAAGGGGATTGTTGGAAAAATAGTGCTTTGTAGTCTCCTTTTCCTCCTTAGTTAGGCAGGACTTCACCCCTCCCCCTTCTTATTCTAGCTGTCAATCTTAAGCGACAGTTTAACTGACTCTCTGAACATTCTAAACTGCCAGTAAACAGTCAGTAACTGCAGTCAGTCCTCTCTGAGGGAGGTTAACATCTCTTTTCCTGATTTATAAACTCCAGTTAGATTAGGTTTTAGTTCTTTTATGTAAATATTTATTAAAGCCATTATTGTTTGTTTTTTAAATGACAAACTACATGTTTATCTATTTGAATTAGTCTTTATTCTTTAGGAAAACAGATTTAAAGTAATAGTCTGAGCCACATTGCTACTCTGCTGAAGTGAACTCTGCATATTTTAGTTTACTTTTAAAAGGATTAATAACCTGGAAACTAAAATTGCAACCCCACATTTACAATAGTCATTTGAAAATGCAATACCCAACCAAAGATAAAATATAAAATAAAATGAAAAGGTAGCTTGTAGTAGCTACAATTTACTAGACTAAAAAGAGAACATGACAAGTTATTATCAACAACTCTAATGCATTCTGGACAATGATACTTTCCTTTTACAACCCTGGGTGGCAGACCTGTGCTCACCTACAGAGAGGTTCCTTGCTTTAAAAAAATACATATTGAACCTATTAATTAAATCTATAAATTTATTAATTACAAAAAGCAGCCAGATAACAAGGATACATATATGAGGAGAAGATCCTGCTATGGATTCAGTTGCTAAGCTCCATCCCCACATTTATTTCAGCAATATCATTAGAAGACATAACAGTCACCTACAGCTTTAGCTCATTGACTTGCTCATCTTCTAATGTGGTATTTCTATCAGCAAAGGCTTCTTGCATTCTGGTTAGGGCAAGTAGGACAAATTCTTACAGCAAAAAAATAAATGAAAACAAATCTGATATCAGAAATAGCAATGCACATCAACCAACAGGTAATTGAGAATAACCGTGTCACTCTCCCAGGATACTGCATCATTGACAGGAAAGTGATTGTTGTGGAACAAAGGAATTTCAAAAGAAGATTGAAGTAGGAGAGAGATGAATGAAGATACATTCACAAATTCCAGTCATTCACCATAGGTTTGAATCAGGACAATGATTTATCAGCATACTACCTTGGTTAATAGGCTGTTGATCAAAACACTTTTGTATATATACAAAATAAGTCTGTAAGGAGAAGTAGTTCTCTGTGGTTTCAGCATGGCAGAATAAAATAAATGTCAGTTTTAAAAATAGGAATCATCCATTGTATGTTCCCAAATGTTGATCTTACATGTATTATTGTCCAGGTAGCTGCTGTTGACCATTATCAATAATATATACAACCATCACTTTCTGTATGCAGTTCTTCTCTCATGCTATGAGGACTGAGAATGGTGCAGAAAATGGGTTATATGCAGCCCATTAAGACCATTTTAAGGTCCCTGAAACCTCTTGGAATCTGCCAAGCTTCCATCACCATTGCGTTTTTTAAAATA